AAATAAAATTACCAACAATGATATCATATCTTCTTTTATAGAAACTTAAACTACGCTCGAACGTACTTTGGAGTAAGTTAAGTTTGATCTTATGTTATTTATTTTATCAACAAAACTTTATTTTTAGAAAAAAAAAAAGTTCATTTCGTAAAGTGGACTTTTTAATGTAAAGATATTTGAGAGATGTTACATCCATAAATGAAGTGCTGAAACCCATGATATTTATTTATCAAGTCCAAAGTCTTTGATTACGTGTGTCTAATTGCCTATAGAAAATGAAATTTGACTTTTGACTTGAATTTATATATGAATCTCTCTCTCATATTTCAATTATTTGAATAAGATATTTTTTATCGAACACAAATTTTGCTCTAATGAGATTTTTAATTCATGGATAATGTTGCTTATAGATTTGCTAGGTATGAACTCGTATGAATGGTTGTCAAATTGGCCTCAAATAAANTGCCACCTCTACCATTGCCGTCGTCTCCGCTTCCACCATTTTCAGCCACCACCACAACTACCATTTCCATCAACAAATAAGATCCAAACCAGATCCTGCCTCGAACACCAGATCTGCCACGACCACCATCACTTCCATCACTGCGACCACACCTCACCGCAACCACCAAATTCGTCACCCAACATAGCCAACACACTTCCACCACCACATCACTCCGCACCTCCACCACCGAACCGTTAATCACCACCACTCAAAAATAAAAAATAAAAAGGGAGAAGGATGGAGATGTGAAGCGTTGCGAGGCAGCATAGCGACACTGCCGTTCACATCAGCATCGTGACGCTGTCGTACTCTGTGAACGGCAGCGTCGGGAGAGGGGGATGGGGAGAAGGAAGGAGACGAGAGAGGGAGAGGGGAGAAGGAATTGGGGAGAATTAAGGTTAATAAATTACTTGCGTTTTGAATAAATAAATATTAGACCTGATTTTTAAAAATCTATCTTTAAACCCCTGATTTTTTATAATTTCCCAAAACGTTTCCAACCCAGAGTACGAAAGTAGCAATTTATTATTATTACTATTATTTTTTATTTGGTTTCATCAACCTAACTTTCGCAAATAAATATACAAAGTTTCTACCAAATTTTGTTTAAAAAGGTTCTATCAAAAAAAAAGTTGGATGATTGTCTAAATTTAATTTCAACCCTTTACATATTCAAATTTTGACATAAAATTGTCTTATATTCCCACCTCGTACAACAAATAAAATTACCAACAATGATATCATATCTTCTTTTATAGAAACTTAAACTACGCTCGAACGTACTTTGGAGTAAGTTAACTTTGATCTTATGTTATTTATTTTATCAACAAAACTTTATTTTTAGAAAAAAAAAAAAGTTCATTTCATAAAGTGGACTTTTTAATGTAAAGATATTTGAGAGATGTTTGTAGGTATTTACTTCACGACTTTGGCATGATATTTATTTATCAAGTCCAAAGTCTTTGATTACGTGTGTCTAATTGCCTATAGAAAATGAAATTTGACTTTTGACTTGAATTTATATATGAATCTCTCTCTCATATTTCAATTATTTGAATAAGATATTTTTTATCAAACACAAATTTTGCTCTAATGAGATTTTTAATTCATGGATAATGTTGCTTATAGATTTGCTAGGTATGAACTCGTATGAATGGTTGTCAAATTGGCCTCAAATTAACGTGTCGCATCATATATCAGTCTCAAAAGACTTTGTCAAATTATTAGTTCGTGTTGATATCGACTTGATAAAAAGTTTTTCTCAACTCGTCAAATTTCTTGGAGCGTCTCCGTTTTGAAGAATAAGTTTTTCGGCCCACCTCTATATCTCTAAAATCAACTATATGAGGAAAAATGAAAGGAAAAAAGGGAAAATTAAAGAAGAGGAAATATGAAAAGATGAGAGGTAAAAAAAAAAAAAAAAATTTAAAAATCATCTTGCCTCCTTCCTCTTTCTTTTCTCCCCAATCTAATTAGGAATGACAATAGAATGGGCATATCCTATTCTATCGAGGACTTTTGAGACTTAGGATGGATTACAAATTTCAATTATTGTCTCGTTTACTTATTCATTTAAAAATGAATTGTTAATATATTTTTATATTTTCTCAAAAAACAGTTAAATTGTAAAATAAAATAAAAATAGAATGAAATAAAAAATTAAAAGGGTGGTAATTATGTTTCCCATCCCCCATTCCAATTACTAAATGGGACGGGGCAATTATGGACGAGGCGAGTTCACGTAATTTTATCACCTTTAACACTAATTTATTCGTTGCTTATTGATGTAGCCCTCAAATATACAACTCTTTTGATTAGAGATGGTCATGAGATGTGGCCGTGTAGGTCATTATCATCCATGTTCGTTGAATTTTAAAAATGCAAGGCAGGTACAGCCATAAGGGGTGAGAATAAAATCTCATTTGCTGCATGGGACCATGTTTCCTATTCCCATCGATCAAAATTTTCCGCTCCATTCAGGGTGGGGCAATGTGAGCAGGGGCATTGATGAAATTTTTTGTCATTCGTTACTTTTTAATGGTTCGGTGATGCAATCTTTTCTTCTTCATCTTTCATTTTTTTATTTCTCATCTTCCTTTCAATTTATTTGATTTTAGAGAGAAGCGAGCGAGTGTGAGGACAGGAATATTATAAGTTTTAAACGAAAAACTAACGTCCTCTCTAGTGGTGATCAACGCATATCGAGAAACAAAATGGGAATTAAAAAATGAACATAACTCAAATACTTATTAATTTCTGAAAGGCGGAGGACCTTTTCATAATTTTTCCTACTCTTGAAAAACGACACTCGCTTAACAAAACCAAAGTAGCCAAAATACTGTATTAGTTTAGACCGAGTCACTGAGATTCCAATGTCAATAAAATTCCGATCTACCCAATATGCCCTCCAAGTTTTGGAAAAAGACAATAGAAAACACGGCTTAAACCATTGAACGGTCGAGCCACCGAGTGCACAATGGCTTGCACCACGACGCACCAATAATTTTTTTTTCTCCCGACTTCCACGCTGCTTTTATACATCAGCACCATATTTTAAATTGCACCGCATTTTAATTCTGCGAATGGTTAATAATTTTTACACATGATCACATACGTGTCCCCAACTTCTTAATTGTTTTGGTTGAAGAAGGAACAGTAGCCTTTTTTAGCTGTTTCCCGTGTTTTGGTTGTTTTCGTGGGATTGGCTTGAAAACTTCCAAAACAACGTTTTTCTCGTTTTTTGTTTTGTGTACAAAAAATTTTTCGTTTTCAAAAACGCGTTTTCGAAAATAGGAAAGTAAACGCGTTTTCACTGTTTTGGAAAACCGAAAACAGAAAACGATTCGAAAACGCCAAAGAGAACCCCTTAATTTCTGAAAGGCGGAGGACCTTTTCATAATTTTCCCTACTCTTGAAAAACGACACTCGCTTAACAAAACCAAAGTAGCCAAAATACTGTATTAGTTTAGACCAAGTCACTGAGATTCCAATGTCAATAAAATTCCGATCTACCCAATATGCCCTCCAAGTTTTGGAAAAAGACAATAAAAAACACGGCCTAAACCATTGAACGGTCGAGCCACCGAGTGCACAATGGCTTGCACCACGACGCACCAATAATTTTTTTTTTTTTCTCCCGACTTCCACGCTGCTTTTATACATCAGCACCATATTTTAAATTGCACCGCATTTTAATTCTGCGAATGGTTAATAATTTTTACACATGATCACATACGTGTCCCCAACTTCTTACCGTATTCTTATTTTCAAATTCGTCCCAAATGATAGTTTATGTCCAAAAAATTTACTAAGAGGCGGAAAAAGACTTATTTGTTATCATATCTTTAATAAGCAAGAAAAAATAAATTGCGACGATATATTTGTCCCTAATTTTAAAGCACGTTTTTAATATTTTTCCAAGAAAACGTGATTAAGGAAAATGTTTGCAAGCTAAGAAAAAATGAAAATAAGAGTTTAACATAGTATGTGGTGCATTTAATAAAAGATGTAATCGGAATATTATTATTCTTAAATTTTAATGTAATAAAAATTCATATTAACACGAAATGAATAGTTTATTAATTTCAATGACTTATTAGGTAATATATATAAAGGTTGAACCCCAACCTTGAAGGTCCCCCACCGCCCGACCCCTAGAGTATTATGGAGGAAGTAAATCGTGAGATGTGCCTCAACGGACCAGAGTACAAGAGCTGTCATACTGATATCCACAAATAGTTCAATTTCATACCTTGTAAGAGGCATGAATCGAACCATCACACTAGGCTGACAGTTTAGTTGAGAATACCCCACTCCTATTCTTTGCACCACTGAATTATGCCCCGGGGGCTAATTAGGTAATATATATACACTTTACAATATTTAACTATAAGTATATACAATTCATGCCCTATAGATTTAATTACTCACACTATAAAAATTGAAGTATACTGATTATTTCGATAGAAAAATTAACTACTTATGTATAAAATACTAAAAATTTAGAATTCGTTACAATAAGTTCAAAATTAGTTAATGCGCCTTAAAAATTGATGATAATTTTTTGACGTTTCACTGTTTATCAATGATCAAATCAATGGTCGAACTTATATTTAAAATTAAAAAAGAGACCACCATAGTCATTGCCGAAACTTGTTTAGATTTTAGTGAACCAGCAAGGAGAATTTCAAACTCGCCAACAACTTTTTGTCCGTCTTAAAATCTCAATTTAACCTTCACTTAACACAATTAACCCCATAATCATTTCTTTGTAACGACAAGGGCAATAGAGTAAATTACGCACGTCATTTTCTTCTGCTTTCTCTCTCGTAGGCCATTCATCTGCTCTTCTCAGGTGTCTATTTCAAGACCCCCACAAAATTATCAAATCCGAGAAAGGCAAAAAGTATTGATTTTGTAGTTTTTGAACTCAGATAGGGTCCCTGAAACCCTATTCATGATTAAAAAATAAGCTTGTTCACTGCATCTTTCCACCATGTCCGACCTCCGGTAACTTCATCTTTCTCTAGCTCTGATTTTCCAAGTTTTTCCCATTTTTAAGGCGCCCTTTTGGTTTTCCACTCAATCCCCGATTTCTGTTGCTCTAGAAAAAATGTTTTCTTCTGTTTCGAGTGTTTTAAGTTTTTTGTTTCGGGAAAAGAACGAAAACTTTATACGGGTTTAGTGTTTTTATTGGTGTAATGGTAAAAAAATCGTTTCTTCCGATGATGGCAACATTTTTAGGGTTCAGTGTTTGTTGTCGAAAGCTTTTATGTAATAGAACTGGTGTCTGATTGATTTTTGTTTGATAAATGTTTTGGAGCTTTTATGTGTATATAATTATATATGGCAATGCTAAGTGAAAGTACACACTCCAACATATATGGAAAATAATAGGTTTTCTTCTATAATTCCCTACTCTTCTAATAACAGATCTTCTATTAACGGGTTTATTTGTGTATTTAATGCAAAGACGCATAGCTAGTGTTTGTTATCTACCTTCTATTTATTTCATAAATAAATGGTACTAAATTTTTTGGTAGTTCTGTTCATTCTTCTGTCGCTGATGTTCTTTTTATGATTCTCGTTATTTGTGCTCTTTTGTTTGACATGATCAATGGGGAGTTTTGACTACTTTGCAGGTGGCAATCACAGTTCTCAATGTGTATTTCTTAAACATTTTCGTGTTAGTAGTCTTGTGAATTATTGTTTTGATATCAGCTTTTAATTTATGTTGTTCAGGGGAGTTTTTCACTTCTCCAAAGCATTTCACTTTGTGGAGGTTCTGTTGTGTGCCCTCATAACATTTGAGGCACCTCTAATTAATGGAGCACAGAATCAGTTGGAATTTGAAGCATGCCGGTCCTACAAAGGCAGTTCTGATGTAAATTTTCCGGATATTTTTGATGATCATATTAACTCAAAGTTTGTAGCGGAACATTTGGTGCAGCGACATAGTATGGACAATGTATGTCCTCATTCGAATTCATTCTGTTTCCCATCAACATTGGTTGGGTTTTTATGTGAAAAAAATGGTGCTGAATTTGAAGTATTAGATGTTTCTAGGGTTCAAGCTGATATTAGATTGTCTGATGGACTAAACCAAGAGAAAAATAGCCTAAGTCGGTCATCGGACAGTGGCATGTTCAGATTATTGGGCGGCAGGACTATTTCATGTTCTTTGTACTACCAAGAGAGTTATCATGAATTACCATGTCATAACTCAATGAATGATCAACAAAATGACGCTACTTCTTGTATAAGGCCTTTACTTGCCCACAAAACCGGAAATCTGAAATTGACCGAGAATATTGAAACAGTCAAATCTGGCTCTTTGGACAGATTTTCAACACCACATGTGGAAATTAAACCTTCTCTACTGGACTGGGGACACAAGTGCTTGCATTTTCCTTCCATAGCTTTTTTAACAGTGAAGAACATTGGCAGTGACAACATTTTGAATGTCTATGAGCCTTATAGTACCAACTCACAGTTTTATTCGTGCAATGTTAGTGATTTTTTGCTGGCTCCTGGTGAAGTTGCATCAGTTTGTTTTGTGTTTTTGCCAACAAAGTTAGGTTCATCCTCAACACAAGTAGTTTTGCAGACGAGCTTTGGTGGTTTCTTGATTCCAGCTAAAGGGTTTGGTGTTGAGTCCCCTTATGGTGTAAACCCTTTAATTGGTCTTGGTGTTTCCTCCAGCGGAAGGTGGAGAAAGAATCTGTCTTTGTTTAATCCTTTTGATGAAGCCCTCTACGTGGAGGAAGTAACTGCTTGGCTATCAATTTCTTCGGGAAATACTTCCCACTCGTCAAAAGCAGTTTGTAGCACTCATGGTATTGCAGAATCTAGTGAGTTCCGTGTGCTGAGTGCTAAAGAATGGTTGGATGCTGAAAGCAGTGAAGTTGGTCTACCACAGATTGCCATGAGGCCACATAAAAATTGGGAGATTGGCCCTCAAAAAACAGAGACTATTATGGAATTAGATCTGTCATTCCATTTTGAAGGAAAAGTTTTCGGTGCAATCTGTATGCAGTTGCTGAGATCTTCAAAAAATAAGATCGATACACTAATGGTTCCTCTTGAAGCACAACTGAGTGTAAATACCACTTATGATGAACCTATTCGTCCTGTTTCAGTATCCCTGGAACCATTATTGCCATGTGATACAAGAGGAGCTGTTATTGCACTTTCAGTGAGAAATGACTCTCCTTATTTACTGAGTTTTATCAAAGTCGTGGAACTCGGGGAAAACACTGCACATTTTCATATTAAATACATGGAAGGTCTTGTACTTTTTCCTAATACTGTCACACAAGTTGCTGTTATCGTTAACAGTCCATTGGAAACTTCTAATGTAAATACGAGCTGCAAATTGGTCATACTAATAAATGATACTAGTTCTCAGATTGAAATTCCCTGTGAAGATGTGATCGGTGTTTGTCCACAACATGAATTGTATTCTTCTATTGGATATAGACAGCAGTCCAAAGATGTAGAACATACCAATTCCCAAATACCTTTAAGTAGCAGCATGCAGCCACCATCAGAGATGAAGGTATACAGATTCTTCTCCATTTTTCTGTCTGAAATAAAATTTTCGCACTGGAATGCATTGCATTGTTAGGATTTGTTATTTAACAAGCACAATCAGTATAATTTAGGTTTATTTTGTTTCAAGAGCTGATGCTATCACCAGACATGATGGTCTACTTCATACAGGGCAGCAAAAAGCAATTAATAGATTTTAAACCCGTTAGTTTGACATTCTGATTACTCCTAACTGTGCAAGGAATGAAAGGAAAAGAAGAGAGAAGGGGATCTTAAACTGATATGTTACTATGAGTGAGTTTGGTTTATATTTTGCATCTTGACTTTTTGCACAAATCATTTCTGAGTTCTAAACTAGGATTTGATACCCGAGGTTTGCAATTGATTTAATTGATTAATTGGTTGGTACTTGGCATGTGCTGTAAGGAAATGCAATTGAGAGATAATTTATAGTTACAATGAAATTGATTCTGGGTAAAAAGATTGTTAGAATAATTTATGACTCGTATCTGGAGAAATGCCCGGCCAGAACTTGATCTGTTCATTACTTTCTTATAAATGGATGATTTGTGGAAGTCTTCTTATTTTTTACTTCAGTTTGTTGGATTAGTAGGATTCTGTAGCACTTCATGGAAGTTTCCACTACCTGCAGTACATGGCTAAAACATGTAACTTTTATCTACAAATAATAGGAAATCTAATTGCTTCTTGGAATTTATTCTTACTTGGAGCAAAATATAGATCATGTTTCCGGTACTCAACCTTCTATTTTCTGCTTCTAAAATTCTATAGGTTGGCAAAGTTCTTGTTATAGTGCAGATGGACTCTGTCGAATTATGGATTAATCAAAATATTGTTCATCCAGTAATTGTGTGATATGTCATCTATACATATTTTGACTCCGCATCGACTTTCAGTATCTTGTTTCCATCTTTAAATGTGTTTCACTTTTATGCTTGAAATCGCGTTTCAATTTTCTTGCATATAGCCATTTATTTATGTAAATCCATATCTGAAGGCAGTGGATGCAAGAGAAGCAGACGAACTGGTACTTAGAAACTGGAAATCTCATGCGACTTCACCTTTAATGTCTGTTCTTGATGAAAATGAAGTACTGTTCCCTATAGTTCAGGTTGGAAGTCATTGGTCTCAGTGGATAACTGTCAAAAACCCAAGCCAAGAATCAATTGTGATGCAGCTTGTTCTGAATTCTGGAGAAATTATAGATGAGTGCAGGACATCTGACACTCTTCTGCAACTGTCTTCATCCAGCAGTTTGGTGGGTAATGAATCCATTGCTCGTACAAGATATGGTTTCTCATTAGCAAAGAGTGCAGTTACAGAAGCTTTTGTTCATCCTTATGGTAAAGCGTCCTTTGGCCCAATTCTCTTTCGTCCCTCCAATCGATGTGAATGGAAAAGTTCAGTTCTGATAAGGAATAATCTCTCTGGTGTGGAGTGGTTATCTTTGCGTGGATTTGGGGGGATAGTTTCCTTGGTCTTGTTTGAGGAGGCTATTCCTGTGCAAGGTTTAGAATTTAAGTTGAACTTGCCAACTCCACTTAGTTTTTTGTCTCCAGACATGTCAAACTACATGGAAGACAAAAGTCTTGCCTGTTCCCAGCCTATGATAAAAGTGCTGTACGCAAACAACAAGGGAGACCTTCCTTTAGAGGTAAAGCGAATTGATGTTTCTGGAGCTGAATGTGGTTTGGATGGGTTTCAAGTAAATTCTTGCAAGGGTTTTTCTCTTCAGCCTGGGGAATCTATAAAGCTTCAGATATCATATCAAACTGATTTCTCTACATCTACAGTACAGAGGGACCTTCAACTGGTTCTGGCTTCTGGTATTTTTGTGATTCCTATGAAAGCCAGTATACCCATGTTTGTTCTCAACTTCTGCAAAAGATCTACATTCTGGATGCGCATTAAGAGATCTATGGTTGCAATCATTCTTGCTGTTTTCATATTGTTACTGCTGCTCTGTTTCTTGTTTCCACATGTGATGGCCTTTGGCTTTCACAAATACTTGTTTAAGAGCGGGAAAATCTCCATCTCCACTGTGAGCTATGCAGAGAAATGTTCTCATGAGCATCATAATCTGAAAAACCATTGTGAATATCCCATATCCCCAAAAATGAGTGGTCCGATAATTTCAAATGAGAAAGAGGACGCTTTGCTAGAATCTGATGATCAAGATGGTGCCCCGAAAAATATAAATCCATCGATGGGATATCAAAAGCAAACCAACACTCTGTTGAATGCTCAACGGGAAACTATATCATCTCCCTCTTTAAAGTCAAAATCTGTATCAGTTGAGAGTTCTGATATCCAAAATGCATCACAAGCTGGAACCCTGTCTGTTAAAATTGGAAAGGGGAAGGGGAGAAGGCGACGGAAGAAAAAGAGTTTCAATTCAGGAATAAGTGGACTTTTTGAAGTTTCAAGCAGTCAGAGTGGAAATTCTACACCAACGTCACCCTTTTCACCTGTCACATCTGTGGATGCTAAACCTACGTTCAGTCAGGTAGCTGATCAGCAATGTGATAAAAGCACATTTACAGAACCTTTCTCTAAGGTAAAGGCGTTGGAGCCTGAGCTTTCTTTGAATCTTGGCAACAGTAAATGGTTCTTTCCTGCTCAAGAGAAGCCAAGTTTAGCTAGAAAAGTGGCTGGCAGAGCTGTTCTGTTGCCGTCTGCAACATTTCCTGTTGCTGGAAGGGCTGCTCCACATTTTACATGTCAATCTCCTATTTTGGCTTCGACATCTACAATTGCACCACATGCGCGGGCTCCTGGTTCCAAGCTTTGTGATCAACAACCGGATAAAATTGAGCAAAAAATGGGGATCAAGGAAAATTATACTTATGATATATGGGGGGAGCATCTTTTTGGATTTCCTTTGACTGATAGGTCCAAGGAGGACTCTAGTATGTCATTGTCACCTCATGCCATCAACTCCGAGAGCTTATTTCTGAGTTGCCCCCAAACCCTCGTAGCAAACTCTCAACTACATCCTGTAAGTGCTAATCCAGAGGGTTAATAAAATTTACTAAGTTATATTTAAATCTTTTGTGTAGATTCAATCTCTTTTAATTTTAATTTGCTTTCTAACCCATTGCCTAAAAAAAACTGAAACCATGCCTCAGTTAAGAAACCAATAAAATTAAGCACTTTTAATGCAGTAATATCAGTTCTATTGGATAATTGTTCCACTGAGGAATTAACAATATATATTGCCTTGTATAATTTGGTCATCATGTTCTATTGAATTAACAATTTTTTGAGTTAATGTTCACTAGATTTGAAATTTTATGCACAATTATCTAAGACAACTTGAAGGAAAACAAATATTACTGGAGAAAACAATTGTCAGAATAGATGAGTTATTGATACTAAAAAGAGCTTAAAATCTTCAATCATCTTATATGTACATCACTTTTTATATTGCGTCATATGGTAACACGTTATTGATCAATTTAAAAAAATATATATATATATATTTTTTCACCAATCAAATCATGTCAACTTGGATGCTGTCAAAAATAATTTACACTTTTGATGTACAAATGACTTTTAACTCTAAAATCTTCTACACGGTTAAGATCAAACATAGCTCGTATTTGAGGACTTGAAAGCGTTCAGTTTTTAGTGTTTTGGTTCTTGTAAGTTTGAAATTGACCTTTATGTTTGAAATGTTCTCTTATGCTGATGAGTTTGATTTTTAAGGTCAACAATCCTTTTATGTCGCGAATTGACAGATTTAGCGTCAATTATAAAAGATTTAGTGATTCTATTCAATTTGTTATTTTTTTTAGCAAACTAGACCTATAATGCTTGGACTCGAATTCATATTCGGGTGCAGATATCGAATACGAGTACGTATCTAGGAGTTTGATCATTCTAATTTTAAAAATTAAGATATGGAGACTGTTAAAAATTATCTGAATTTTGGATACGAATATGGGTACAGGGATACGTCTTACAAATTTTTTTTTTTAAAAAGGACAAAACAATTATTTTACTTTATTGTAATATAAGTATTTATAATTTTAATTAATAATATTGAATTTGTGATGTTTTAATTATTATATATAAAAATTGACATGAATAGAAATAACAAATAAAACATTTGATACACCAAGGAACTAAAAAAATAAGTATTGGACAACGTTTTGAATAAAATCAATTTAAATTTTCATTTACTTATACACAAATTAACTAATATTGGTTGTCAAAAAATGAACTCATAAATCAATTTGTTTATCAACTCTTTAGATAAAATTAATTTAAAATTATTTTTGAAATCAATTTCAATTTAAACCTAAAATAAATTCTTTTCGAAAAAATTAAAGGAAATCAATTCCAATGTTTTATTTAAAAATAATTATAGAAATAAATTTAAATTTAATATATAAAAAAAAGATATAACACAAAATCATTTTAATTATAAAATAAAAATTCTCACATATAAAAATATAAGAATTAAAAAAAAAAAAAACTCAAATAAAATTTTATTAACTTTATAATTTGATTTACGAGAGTTCGGCCAATATAATAATTCTAAAATTAGGTGCAACTCACTTCCTTTCTCATCTTTTGTTATTTTCTTTCTACAGAACCAGAGGCAGAAATCCAGAAGCAAGACTTCCCAACTCCGCCATCTTCTCCCGTTTAGTGTCATATCTGAGTGCAAAATCAAGGATTCGATCCATATCCCGTGTCAATATACGTGTCATGTGTTTCGCGCGAGTTAGCTCGCTAACAATTAAAA